TCCATCCCTCCAGCCTCCCATCTCGCCATCCCTCCCCCCCTCCCTCTAGTTCTTCTTCAACATTGGTTAGCAACCTTCCTCCATCCCTTGCTTCTCCCATCTCGCCATCCCTTTCCGCCTCGCTCCATCCATCCATCCATCCATCTTCTTCTTCTTCTTCTTCTTCTTCTTCTTCTTCTTCTTCTTGAACATTGTTAAGCTGCAGGGCGAGAATTGAAGCGGTAGGGAGGAGGTGGTTGCAACACCATGGCTGGTGGGAGCACTGCAAGGGGTGCGATTGGTGGACAAGGAAGTTGGAGGCAGTTGGAAAGAGGAGAGGGCATCGGGAAGGACATTGCCAACTCAAGTGCACCTTCGTCAGGGGTGACTTCTACAGAATCCACACCGGCTACTGACCCCTCGCTGTCCGTCCCACAGCCTGAAGGGAGGCAAAAGAAGCTGCAGGGCGAGAAGGAGATATCGAAGCATGTGGAACAAGGGCAGGCGGTTGTGCCAAAGGGTCGGGGAGAGTATTGGCTGAGGTGTCGGCTATGCTCAGCCATTTGGAGGGGCACGAGCACACGAGCAGTTGAGCACTTCATGAAGATGCTCAAGTCGCGCCTTTTCCGGACAGGGGAGATTGTGCATAAGCTGGTGGCCCAAGGGCCGAAGGTGCTGCCAAGCGACAAGAAGACTCGCTACCTATTGCAAAATTACTGGCAGCTGCACAACATGTCGGAGGGGGGGGCTGCAGCAAACGACGATGATGCGGACGCGGTTGTTCGTCGTGGTTACGAGGAGCAAAAACCGCCGGTTGCTGCAGGGAGGGAGCCGGTCGAGGAGATGGCGCAGCGGGGAAAGGAAAGTGCAGTGGGGGAGGTGCTGCGAGAAGAGTGTGATTCCACCACAAGGGCGGGTCCGGTGCAACAAACGACCATCACGAGATGGATGGACAACGCAGCTCAAAAGAAGTTGGACATTGCATGGGCGGAGGCAATGTTCCGGGCGCGAATCTCGTTCAATTTTTTGAACTTCGACACCACTCTCAAACTGCACGAGGTGTATTCGGAGGTGGCTAGCGCATGACCGAAGGTGAAATTGCCTTCTGCGAAGCACATCTGGACAGTGACGCTCGACTTTATCTTTTTGCGCATTCGAAAACAGGTTCAGCCTTTGACTGCATGTTGGGATGTCACGGCCTGCACTTTCATCACGGACGGGTCGACCGATCGGAGGGAAAGGCCTGTCATGAATTTCTTGGCGGCGGGGGAACAAGGAGCGGTCCTAGTGGCAACGGTGTCAATGGATGGAAAAAAGAAGACCGGACCAGCGCTGGCCAGACTTTGGGAGAAGATAATGAGGGAGGTCAGGCTGCAACGCATCAATGCAATTTGCACCGACAATGCGGAGGTGAACAAGAAGGCCGCGCAGATTTTTGGAGCGGCGCATGGGCTTGGTGGTTTCACAAATACCTTGGGTTCCGTGTGCTGCGCATTGATGCAGCTTGTTGCTACGGGACATCAGCAAGTTGGATTGGATCAGGGGCACGGTGAAGCGGAGCCACACCATTGTGAAGTTTATACGGAACCACCACTACACACATAGCCTAATGATGTCGTTGGACGACTCATTATCGCTGTTGCAGCCGACCGAGGTCCGTTTTGGGTCGGTCTACGTGATGATGGAGCGGTTGTACGATCGGAGGGCGGTTTTGAAGCAGATGGTTGAAGGGAGCCTAGTCGGGAGATCAAAGGCGATGCGGTGGTCGACGACCAAGCTGCAGTCCAAAGCGGATCTTGTCTTCTTCACATCGCGGACGGAGGGTTGGTGGCCGAAGTTGAAGAAGGTGGTGGAGGTGATGGAGCCATTGTATGTCTTGCTTCGGAGGATGGACAAGGACGGGACTGCCCCGTCAAACCTTGTGGAGTACGACCGGCTAATGGAGAGGATGCTGGCGGAGGTCGTGCTGACGGAGGAGCAGCGACGTACGGTGCTCGAGAAGGTGAGGGACCGCATGAAGATGATGCGGCAACCAATACACGCCTTGGTTTTTCTTCTCTACCCACAGAGGAGAGAGCCAAAGTGGTTGTTGGACCGGGACAACGCATTTGTGCAGAATGCGCTGTGTTATTTGTAGTGGCATATCGGTGGTCCTTGGAAATCAAAGGCCCACGTGCAGATTCTCAACGACCTGTGAGAGTTCCACACGAAACCCACTGGGTACAACCCCCGACGGAAGGACAAGAAAATGTGGGATGGTGATGCGGTCGCAGATTCTAACACCATCTCGCCATCAGAGTGGTGTGCAACTCATGGCGGCGATGTGCCGGAGCTGCAGGCCATTGCCATGAAAGTAATGGGCATGTGGAGCACGATGACTCCAGCGGAGCGGAATTGGTCTTCGATGGACTTGGTCCACTCGAAGCGGCGGAATCGGTTGAACCCCTCAACCTTGGAGTTGGTGTATATTCATTGGAATATGCAGCTGCTGCAGTCCGGGAAGAACTGTAAGGACCACGACTACATTGACTTGTGGGCGCAGTTCTTCGAGTCTCTTCCGGAGGCTGAGGTGAACGATGGTTCTATTTTGAAGGACCCCGTGGAGAAGGACAAGACGGAGGAGGAGCTGGTGCGGGAACGGGCCTTCATCAAGACACCAAAGGGCCGGATTCCGAAGAGCCTCGAATACTACGAGGAGTAGGAGGAATGCACCGGCGACAGCAACCTTGACGACGAGGTGTGGAAGGGGAAGACTCCATGGTTGGAAGCGTCTAGCGAAGGGGAGGTTGATGAGTCATTGGACGATGACTTTGAGTTGGGAATCCCGCCATCAATCCTGTGCACCACATATGTTGGGAGGAGGGAAGCAGCACAGCGCCGTCAAGAACGGCCGCCCACAACACCATTTCAATGCACGGCGAACACCACAGCGCGTCACAACATCCAATCGGATGTCGAGCTACCACAGACTGACACCGACATGGAGATGGAGCTTCGCCCCGGTCCAATCAATACAGATGAGGAGGAGGCTGACCGTGCAAAGGCATGGGCTGATGCGGATCAAGAACAGGTGCAAAGAAGAATGAGGGAGGAGGAGGAGCGACGCGCAGCTATACCAACCCGCATAGAATTGGAGAAACCGAAGAAGAAGGTTGGAGAGCGAGAATCGGAGCCAGTGGGGGATATGGGCCGGCTAGAGGAGGAGAAAGAAGAGGCGATGGGCCAGCGAGAGGAGGAGGCAGCACACGAGATTGGCCAGCCAGGGGAGGAAGAAGAAAAGATGGAGGAGCAAGAGGAGGAAGAAGAAGGGGCTGGCATGGAGCAGCGAGAGGAGGAGATGGAACAGGAGTAAGGGGAGGGCACGGAACAGCAAGAAGAGGAGCTGGAGGAGACTGAGAAGGAGCAGCAGCAGGAATAGACGGAGAACATCAAGGAGGAGCAGCAGCAGCATGCACCGACGACCGTGTACAAGCATCGGAAGCAAACTGTGAAGGCTGCTGGGTCACCGGATAATTCCCCCGACTTCCCAGCCAACAAAGCAGAAGCCCAACACGACAACCTGTGGGTCAGCAGGGTTGGGAGGAGGAGGAAGGCGCCCCGTGAGGACGAATGGCTGAAGCCAAAACTTCCACGTGGCAGGCCTCGGAAGAACGCGACCGCCGGTCCGGCTGTAAAGCCGGAAAAAAAAAAACAGCGGTGCAAGCCTCGCAAACAAATTCTTGAGGATGACCCCGAATCCGACAACTGCAGCGAACAGTTTGCCAAAGACGAGGGTGACACGGCTGACTGAGATGGTGTGTTCGTGTGTGTGTGTGTGTGTGTGTGTGTGTGTGTGTGTGTGTGTGTGTGTGTGTGTGTGTGTGTG